AGTAAGAAACGAAAACAACAGGAGAGGAACAACTGATCTTAAAAAATGTAAGCGTAATCGCGTGAGCAGTTTGTAGAAAGACAATCAATAGACAGCGGATTTCTATGCATAATTAATACAATTAAAAAAGAAATGCAAATGATTTCTTTTATATAATTTGCGTCGCGTTCACCAAATTGACAAATGCATCAAATCCGCAGTCTAACAATTAATTATAGAACTCGTTTGATAGACAGTAATTCCTGGTCTATTAAGCGAGCGTCGTTTATGGTACAAAAAGAAAGCTGCGAAGCTCCAAGCGAGGAGGGCTTTTTCGATGCACAGTTCCTCGATATTTCTTTCCCTAGGCGTGTGATTTTTCTTCTCCTAGAATACTAACAGCTACATATACACAGTGTACGCACGTGAACGTGATTTATAAAATTCTAAAGCTGAAAACTCGTTAAGCTAAAGACGTCGTATTTATACTAAGACGATTGTGAACGGTTTCGTTTTTTGTCTCGCCGAACAAAAATCCATTCGCACCTTACGAAAATATATAACGAAGCGTCGTCGTCGTCGTTGGACGCCGTTTGGAGATACGTACAGTGCATAATTGTAAGGCTTGTCGATGTGCTTTTTTCTTGGGCGTCCTGTGCAATTATCTAACACGTCCGAACGGAATATCGATGATTATAGACTATCGTCTCTACTTTAATGTACAATTGCTTGAATTATGAACAAAATTCTTACAAACGTAAATATCTCAGTCCCGGTCGATTCTCTCTACAGCTAAACAAACGACGATATTTACTCTGATACTTCTCATCCTCGGGCATTATTATTATTATCTTCAACGATTATTATTGTACGATTTTTCATTCCTCCAATTGAACAGCTACTTTCATCGTGGTCGTCCTATTATTATTTATTATTATTATTACTTGTCACGCTTATGTTCTTTCTGCTCGTCCGACGATTCTTCACGGACCGCAGACACCATTCTTAACATAAGGATGGCTAATAGCTTGTCGAGGGGGTCCATGAATCCTCTTTGAATCCATTTTGGTATCGTTGTACGGGCGTGGGAGAATCCTAGCTTCTGCAGGATGTAATCTATCCCGTAAGGCTCGATGCTTTTACCAGCCCACGAAAGCAACCTTTCATACAAATTACACAAACAAAAAATGTTTTTTTACTACGAAATTTAAGCATAGTACATGAACTTATTACTATTATTATTATAATATATATTATATTGGTACGAAAATTCGTTTTAAACA